GAGCTTTTATTATGCCACAGTCGAGCGCTTCCGCTCCTTCCGGTCGTGCGTATGTGGGGTAAAGCAGTGGAGCTTTTATTATGCCACAGTCAACCGCTTCCGCTGCTTCCGGTCGTGCGTATGTGGGGTAAAGCAGTGGAGCTTTTATTATGCCACAGTCAACCGCTTCCGCTGCTTCCGGTCGTGCGTATGTGGGGTAAAGCAGTGGAGCTTTTATTATGCCACAGTCAACCGCTTCCGCTGCTTCCGGTCGTGCGTATGTGGGGTAAAGCAGTGGAGCTTTTATTATGCCACAGTCAACCGCTTCCGCTGCTTCCGGTCGTGCGTATGTGGGGTAAAGCAGTGGAGCTTTTATTATGCCACACTCGAGCGCTTCCACTCCTTCCGGTCGTGCATATGTGGGGTAAAGCAGTGCTGTTTAATCATAGTAGATACATTTGAACGTTCTGTTATAATGCTACTCTGTGCGGTCGTCACCGGTCTATTAAAACGCATGACATATTAAAACGTCTTTGGTGTTTTAAATTTTCTACAAAACAAAACCGGAAATTGAGGAATTATGACATCACTGGCAGGCGACACAATGACCAGGGATGAGCCACTAGTTAAAATTGCTATTTCTCTGGATTTAAACATTCTTCGAAACATTTGGGATAATGTTAGTACACAAGTCAGCAAAATATATAACACTCTTCTAGTGATTTTTGGATATTTTAATAAAAAAAACTGTTAAATGATGTGCCTTTAAGGGCAATAAATCACTAAAGGGCTGATATTATAAATCTATGCTATGCTGAAAAAAAATGGTGTAGAAAAATTTTTCACTCAGAAATTACTTGTAAATTTCACAATTACAAAGACACCGTAACATTCAATTAAATGTAAACTTTTAAGAAAAAGACTGAAATAGTATTTTTTTGTAACACTTACTCTAATAATATGTTTTATGTACAACTTTGAAAACATGTTTACACTGTACCTTTAAAAAAAAAAAAAAAAGTAAACACTAAAACTAACAAATAGCTTAGAAGTTTAATAGAAATTTTAAATAAGTTAAGCAAAATTGTATTTTCTTGATTACAAAAAAAACTTCAGCCAGTCAGCAGTTTTTTCAGAAAGTGCAAAACTCTAGTTGGCAATTCATACTTGCACGATCACCAAAGGAACATTTTTTCACATGCAATTAGTTAGAGAAAGACAAAAAAAGAAAAACAAGAGATGAAAGCAAATTGCGTTTGCAATATCTGTTGCAATACTTAAAGAGCGGAGACTTGCAAAAATCATTCTTTTATTTCAAACAAAAGCTCATGTATCTCTCTTCAATCCTACAGAACAGCCTTAAACGTCTCGTGTTATTAACTCTTCAACTAATGTATTACTATTGGCAGCTCCATTGATATTCCAGCGCTTGAGGCCAGAAACCCGAAAACTGTTGAGAAATTCAGCAGCATTATAGTGTTTGCTTTGTTTAGGAACTCGCTGGCAGTTTCGAACCACAAAAGTGGTATAAAACACTGCAACAATAAGGCTTTTGACAATTTTTTTTCTTGTTTTTGGACGAGGAACTGTCAGGAAGAGAAAAAAGCCTGCAGACATTGCAATTATGGCTTTGTTTATCTAGTCTGCAGCCTGACACGTTTTAATCTCACATCATATCAGAGGAATGCCATACAGATACCTGCACAATGATGGCTCGTAGGTGTTTACCTGTTTGATCCGGTCTCGGCGGGAGACGGTACTCATCAAGCATCTCTTTGTGATTATGGGATTTGCATAGATTCAAGTTGTGAGAATTTGTTTTTTCCAAACAGCACAACAAAGCAGGGCGCTTTAAATATGGTGTCAAACTGGTTTCTAAACGACAAAAGGTCAAACAACATGTGAGAAAGCTGACTCCGAATGAATGCATGTTATGCATTTTAGTTTTTGTTTTATACCTTAAATCTCTTCGAAATTAAAGTAAACAACCAGTATCTGACAGGAACAAAATACATCAGTGTCACACAATCAGTTGCATTAGAAACACTTCAAAGTTTGAAAATACAACTTCGTACTGATCTTAATTACTTTTTAATTCATGTTTACAAAAAGCAGCTTGCGGTTTGAAAACCTTTGCTCCTAAACACTAGAATACGGAAATCAATTTGACTGTAGCTTCTGATCACACTGCAAAAAAGTAATGTTCTCCTGCAGTATTTTAGTCGTTTTCCAGTGCAAATGTCTAAGATGCATTCACTTGAAAGGCAATAAGCCATCTTATTTTCTGTGAAATGGATCAAAATTAAGCGAGTTTGTTTAAAACAAAAACAAATATCTGCCAATAGAGTCAGAAACATCAACTTAAATCAAACACAAAAAAGTAATTTTATAATATTTGTTCTTGCTTTAAGCATAAACTCACTCCGTTTTGTTCAATTTCTCAGAAAATTTGACTTAATTTCTTCATTTTGCATCTCAAGTAAATGCATCTTGATTTAAGGATTTCGATATTTGTACTTGAAAACCAAAACACTGAGGAATTAATTTTTTGCAGTGCATGTAATTTTTAATGCCATGACTTTTCTGCTATGATTTAGGACCTTTTTAATGCTTTAAATTGTGGAAGGGCGATTTAAGACTTTTTAAGACCCCAAAAAATATTCAGGCTTTGCTCAGAAAGCCAGCAAAAATGCCAAATAAAATAAACATAAATCATAAAAAAAATTTGATTTGTACAAACCTCTTGCATGATGACAATGAGGACAGTCAGTCCTAAAGACTGGATTTGAAATCCAAATCAAAACTGAATGCATGTTAGCACACAAACCCGGTTTGTTTTTCAAATAGTTTCTAATATAACTAAGTGTTGGTGCATCTGATAATATCTACAGTATTTGAGGCGTTTGATGCATGCTGTTTTTCCTGCACTAGCACCATTATGACACCTACTGGTTGCAATGTATAAATTACAGTGGCTTAAACTAAAACATTTTAGGTCCAATTCAGAAAAAAAGATGCAAAAGGAGTTATTTTTTTCTCTCATTTAATTAAATGATTTAAATATATACATATATAAAACTTGAACATAAAAAAAAAACTTTTTTTTTTTCATATGCAAATAGCAGCTGCTACATTGCACATTTCAAACATGGATTTTGGACACCACATCTTCAGCTTATGAATATCTTATGTTACCTAGCAGATGACTCATAGTCTCATAGATAAGTGCCGTTTTAAACTCTCAAATGTGAAATAAAACAACACTGGCTTGTTCTAGGACAACATTAGCAACATGTTCAGAGGATGAAGCTGGTGAACGGACTAGAAACGTTGAATTAGCAAACAAAACAAGAAGAAACCTTTATGATACAACAGCAGAACGTCAGTCGCTCAAACACAGTTGACCAAACTCGCCTGCTCCTGTCTCTGTTTGTCCACGGCGCGCTCCATCGCTTTCAGAAAACCCTCGACTGTCAATGTGGAGGACTGGAGACAGAAGAGTTGACGTGATCACAACAAACAAAGACTAAACTGCAAATTTAATTTCTGCTGTAAAAAAATAAACAGATTAAAGAAATCTGTGGTCTGTGATGCACATTGTATATTAATGCACCAACTTAAGTCAGGACACTGCAAGCTTGCTTTTGCATGCACTAGTACATTTTTGAGATTTTGTACTATTTTGCTTCCATAGCATGTCTTCTTTCAGACTACAGGAAAGAAAACATCCAAAATACACATTTAAGTATCTGTATAAGTGTCTGTAGATTTAAATTCCAATACATATCTTTAAATGCCATGGGATTTTTTCTCTAGAGTTTTTTTTAAATGTATATATACACATATATCATTCACCTGGTTTATGCGACATTTTAATCCTGAAACCACGTTGTTGTTGTTTTTTGGCTGTTGACAGTATTTTCTGATTAATGGAGTGATGAATATGAGACATTCAAAATATCTTTAATTTTTCAACAAAATGAGACAAGAATTTTGAACTTGACTTTGTCCTATGTTCAGATTTCTGTACTTGAAATGTATGCAGATTTGTGCATATTGCATTAGATAATGCCTAGATTAATATTATCACCTGTACTGGGGCTAACACGTTACAAGTAACGCGAGTTGCGTAATCAGATTACTTTTTCCAAGAAACTAGTCAAGTAACACATTATTTTTTAATTTACAAGAAAATATCTAAGTTACTTTTTAAAATACGTAACGACAGTTACTTTGTTTTCCCAATTTCTTCCCATGTTGAGAGAAATTGAACTTTTTTTAATATTAAAAACAAACAAGCAAGCCCAGCCCAGACGGAAAAAAGAAAAAGCGCAAAAGTAAAGTAACGCATTACTTTCCATAAAAAGTAACTAAGTAACGCAATTAGGTATTTTTTTTAGATAGTAATGCAATATTGTAATTGTAAGTAACTTTCCCCAACACTGATTATTACAGAATTGTAATGGTCAAATAGTAACATTTCTTAAATGTGACTGTATTTGTACTGGTTGAAAAATATAATTTTTTAAAATACATTTGTGTGCTGAATTATGTTGTGAATTCACTTACTGTATCCAAAAATAATGGTGAACTATTGCATATTTATGTATAATTTATCTCTAAAAAAAACTTGGTGATTTTTTTTTTGTGGCTGTCGACAGTATTTTCTGGAAGGATAAAAAGATGATATCCAAAATAAACACTAATATGTATAATAATGTGCTCTGGAAATGTTCAATTAGATAATGGTTTGTTTGCATATTTAAACATAACACTTGAGAACACTTATGATACAAAACAATAGTCTTAATGTACTGTGATTAATCAACTTGCCTTGCTTGTCAACCGTAAACCTAATGATAGAATTAGTCTAATGAACAATATTACTTATTGAAGAATTGTTTATTCTGATTATTATTAATAATAAATGCTGTTGCCATCCTTGCATCACAGCATTAACCCACTCAAGGTCATGCACTGCAGTGCTTTACCATGCTTTAATACTAAAAGCATCACATATAACATTGTACACAGACGAGTACCTTTCCATAGAGCGCATGAGCCAGAAATGGGATTTTCCTCAAGGCTCGTCCACTGAGTCCCACACTCCTCCTGTGCAGAAAGAGACACTCGTGAAGATCCATTCTCTGAGACTTTCAGCACTAGTTGCATTAAAAGCAAACACTCACTGGGCGAGGTTCCTCAGGGTTAAGCTCAGACGGGTCACGTCGCTCTCCATGAAGTTCATGGTGCCCAGTTCCTCCAAACTCAGCAGCTGCTGTCTGGGGTAGATGATGTGACGCTGCAGGGAAGGTTCAGATCGATACGGCCGTGTTCAGCAGAAGAATAGAGACGTTCAATAGTTAAAGGAACTGAAAACACGCTCACCTTCATGAGTTCCTCCAGACAGGACAGATAGATGTGGAATATGGCGCTGGCGCTCGGGGGGCCGATGTACTGCTTTATATCAGCTCGGTCCACAAAGGCCAGATCGATCTTTTCTGTGACGTTGGATGTGGTGAGGATGACAACATTTGGGTGCCTGAATCAGCGAAACACAAGGTTTGTATTAATTGCACATGAACCCATCCATTATATGATGTATTTCAACATGCATTTTGCATTAAAAGGAGGGCAAGATGGCATCAGACGGTGGAATAGGTTATTATATTATGATGAAACACTACAAAAATAAACCTTTATTTATTGAAATATCCTTTACAATGAATCATGCACAATAAGAGCAAGAAGGTGCATTAAGTAACTAGTCATTCTGATTTCAAGCATGCCTCTGTAGATGAACGTGAGCGGAGCAGAACAGATGAAGAGGAACTGACCGTTTGATCTGGTCGAGCTGGGTCAGAACTGAATTGACCACCCTAATAGCGTCAGACGGCTCCGTTCCTGCTTGAGCGGCGCTCCGCGAGGCTGTGAGACTCTCCACCTGACGAACACACATCATTAACCCTCAGAAACTCAGGGGAGCAGAACTGCAATGTTTGTATACAGCGAACTTTCACTAAATACGGGTAAAACATATTAAATGCCACAGCTTGCTCAAGTCACAAAATGCAAGATTTTTAACACTTTTGTAACAAATTTATACATTTATAAAGAAATTGTTCAACATTTAATAATATTTTATTTTATTATTTTAATTGTTTTATTTTATTCCAATATTTTATTATTACTTTTATTTATATTTTGTTATTATATTATATATTTTATTATTATTATTATTTATATTTATATATGTCTAGTGATGGAAAAAAATTAAATGCACTAAAATTTTGAATTGTAATATATATTTTTTGAATTGTACAAACAATGCAACGTTGGGTCTTTTTTGTTTTCTGACACAATGGAGCCATTCAATGAATGGCACAAAAATTATGCACATTTTTAGGCTGTTTTCCAAGCTCATTCATATAACAAAAAAAGCTTTTTTTGTATCAAATTACATTAAGTGGTATTGAAATTACTATATTCTATTTAAAATATGCTTTAATAATATTATTACAGTATTTCAATGGTCAAATAGCAAAATTTCTTAACTTTTCATGACTGTATTTTTAGCGGTTGAAATAAGTTATTTTCCAAATACATTTTTGTGCTCAATTGTGTTGTAAATTTTAAACTTTCACTTACTGGGTCTATAAAATTGTGGTGAAATATTGCATATTTATATTTTATTTACTTCTAAAACCACAGAGATTTTTTTTCTGGTGATTTATAGTGATAAAAAGAGATATCTAAAATACTCTTACATGTCTAAAATGTTCCGGAAATGTATGCAGAAATTAGTGCATATTTAATAAGATTTGTTTAAACAAAATAAATTCAGAAAACTTGTACTAAATACCCAGAGCTGCGTTGTTCCAAATTATTTTGCTTATAAATTTTGCCTAAACAAAATTATTTTTATAACTAATGGTTTGTTAAAGACATGTTAAAGGATGACAAAACAATGAATATGAAAAGTATCAAAATATCAAAGCTGGTTTGGAAAAATTGTGCTGGAATTGAAATCAAGCAACCAATAAAAGTGATTTCACTCAGACTTGATTCTAATCAAATGATCATTCATTAAAGGATGTGAATTACAATGTTTCACCATGAGCTGCTTTTGTTGTGCCAATATCACTGTAAAGCAAGCGTTCTTGTGGTTTATCGCTTTTATTAGCCAGTCTAAAGTGGTCTGGTCCGGTGGAAGACCGGTCTGAACAGCTGTTATGTACCCAAAACCCCTCTAAAACCATCAGTCTAGAGACCAGATTTAAGAGCCAACAAACCACCTTAGACTGGTTTAAGTGGTTTTGTTAAGCAAGGGTGAGTCAAGTGCAACAAAATAAAAGACATGAGTGAACATTAATGATGTAAAAAACAGAGAACCTCATCTATCAGGACAAACACCAGGGCATCTTTATCATCGATGAGCTCCTGGATCTTCTGAAACATCTTTGTGACCAGTTTCCCGCTCTGTAAAAGCAGTCAGATGTTAATGAGGTTTCAGACACGGATCTGAGGAAGCGTTTCAGAGCAGACGGATCCAGCTGTACCTCTGAGAACCACTTGGAGAAGAGGCTGTGGCTGTTGATCTCCACGAACTGGCTGTGTGCATATCTGTTTAGAGTGGAAACACACAAATAATGATGACACGGGACGCCCAGAAGCTGCCTTTTTGATTTTATGAAGGTGTCTCACCTGCCAGACAGTCTGATGGAGAGTTTCTGGGCAAGTCCTTTACACAGAGACGTCTTCCCTGTGCCAGGCGGCCCTGAGGGGTTAGGAAAGACGCGCAACTGTATAAACATGGCAGAAGACAGAAAGTGCTGAGCTTTCAAGCAAGCTTTTACTGTCTTACCGTGAAGTAACACGACACGATTCCAGGCAATCAAATTGCTGTCGACATTTCTGTCAGAGAAGAAAATTGTTGTCGAAACATAATCCAAGAGCTGGAGAGACAAAGTGAAGACAAAGGTCATGTTATGGGTTATATATGCTAGTGTAAAAAAAATACAACACTTCAACAGATAAGACTTAAGCACTGTGTGTGTGTACTGTATATACACTACTGTTCATAAGTTTGGGATCAGTAAGACTTGTAATGTTTTTTAAAGAAGTCTCTTCTGCTCACCAAGATGCATTTATTTGATCAAAAATACAGTAAAAACAGGAAAAATTGTGAAATATTATTGTAATTTTAAAAACTGTTTCTTATGTGAATATCTGTTAAACTGTAATGTATTTCTGTGATGCGCAGCTGTATTTCCAGCATCATTACTCCAGTCTTCAGTGTCACATGATCTTCAGAAATCAGTATAATATGCTGATTTATTATTAGAATTATCAACAGCTGTGCCGCCAAATTTTTTTGGGGAATCTGCTATACTTTTTTCAGGATTCTTTGATGAATAAAAAGTTAAAAAGAACAGCATTTATTCAAAATATAAATCTTTGCTATCACTTCTTATTAATTCAACACATCCTTGCTGAATAAAAGTTTTAATTCCTTTCAAAAAAAGAAAGAATAAAAATGTACTGACCGCAGACTTCTGAACGGTAGTGTATATTGTTAGAGAAGATATCTATTTTAAATAAATGCTCTTCTTTTTAACTTTTTATTCATCAAAGAATCCTGAAAAAA